GGCGAGGCCGGGCGGCGGCGCGGCGGCCCCCGCGTCCCCGCGCCCGTCCGAGCGCCCGCCGAGCGCCCGCGCACTTTTTGTTGTTGACGGCTCGGGCCGCACCGGCAAATATGGCCGTCCCTCACCCTGACACCGCCGCAGTATATCACCCATACATCGGGCGCGCGGCGCAGGGGCGGCCGCAAACTTTGAGCCGAGCCAGCGGGGCCGGCCCGGCCGGGAGGGGCGGCGGCGTCAGGGGGCGGCTCCGCCCGCGGCCGCGCCCCGCGCCTCCGGCGGCGCCCGGCGCCCGCAACTTGCCAAAGTTTGGGGGGCTGGGGTCCTGGCGGTGCCGGCCCGCGCCCCCCGCCGCCGCCCGCGCGCCCCTGCCCCTTCCCAGGGAGCCAGCGGGACCCGAGAAGTACTTTTTTGGGGACTGTGGGGGCAGGGGTGGAAAATTACCTGGAGAAAATGGTGGCGACCCGTCTTCTCTCAAGCACGTAGATTATTCCAGATGCCCAGGTCTGGCTGTGCCCCAGGATTAGAATAGCCCGTTCCTGACATTGATTTCGAATAAATTTCATGTCCCTGCCTGTATTAAGTGGTTTTTAACCCTTTGGGGACCTCAGACTCCTTTGAGACTGACAAAAGCGAGAGGCCTCCTCCCCCGGAACATTCGCCCTCGCGACCACGTAATTTTGCACGTTAACTCGTGCCAGTATTTAGGGGGAGCGCCTTCTGTATGCCAGGCACCGTGCTAGGCGCTGAGGGAACCAGAGAGGAACTTGTCCAAGTTTCTGCTCCCCTGGAGTTCGCTTGCATTTTCTGACCCTCCTTCTACCCCACCCCACCCCCCACCCATCCCCGGATGGGACTGAACATATTTAGGGTTAGATGAATAACCTCCCCAAGGTACTATATTTTGGAGTTCTGTCTGAATAGTAATGCTCCTGGAATTACATAAAACGCCCACCCTTTTATGTTGTTTTAATCGCCATGGTTTGCAGGTTTTTTTTAATTAGTCACATTCAAACATCATCTCTGGATCTGATGACAAAGGCGTCAACCTCTCTGCCCAAGAAGGAAGGTAACACCCGCCCAGGCCTTCCCTCCTTCCCTTTAGGGCTAAAGGTGCAGGAGACACCCCCTCCCCAGCTTGGCCAGCTCCCCTGCTCAGCTTCAGGCCAGCTCTAGGGAAGGCTGCTCAGTGACATTTTATCTCATGAAGAAGTCAATGCCACCCCTTTTACACTGGCTAATATAAACATAAAACAAGCTAATATGTAATTTTACATTTAGATCTTAATTTTAAAGTCCCATTTCAGGAAGTAAAAAGAAACATGAAATTGATTTTAATATATTGTATTTAACAGGATGAATCCAGAAGAATATGATTTCAGAATGTAACAATACATGGAAAATACTAATAAGACACTTGGCATTCTTTTTATCGTATTAAGTCTTCAAAACTCAACTGTGCATTTTGCACTCACAGGGCATCTTAACCCAGACTAGCTCGTTTCAGGCACTCAGTAGCCATCATAGCTCAGCAGTCACCATATTGGACTGTGCAGGGCTGGAAGCCAAAAGAGGGTCCTTCAGCTAGGTACTAATTCTGCTCCCCACCTCTTATGTGTCCTGGCCTCCATTTCCTTGGGGCGGAAATTCAGATCTCAGTGGCTGCTCAGGCCCTTCCATGGGTTGTTCTCAGTTAGTCTGTTTCCGTGATGTTATATTTTTACCATGATTCCCCTCAGTTTAAGTCCTGGTCATTTGGAAGGGGAAAAAAAAATGTATATATATAATTTCACTTATCATGAAAATATTTTGTAATATAATTCACTTATCATGAAATACAACCTTTTGAAGTACACAGTCCTGTGGGTTTTAGTATATTGAGAGTTGTACAAGCCTTACCTCTATCTAAATCTGGCACATGTCCATCGACTATAAAGAACCTCCACCCCTAGTCAGTCCTCACTCCCCACTCCCCACTCCCCACCCACTTAGTATACTTTACTTTTTCTCTAAGGATTTGCCTATTCAGGACATTTCATGGAAATAAAATCATACACATGTGGCATTTTGTGTCTGACTTTTTCTTTTTCCCTTTTTTTCCAGTACTAGGGATTGAATCCAGAGGTGCTCTACTATATCCCCAGCCTTTTTAATTTTCATTTTGAGACAGCGTCTCACTAAGTTGCCATAGCTGGCCTTGAACTTGGGATCCTCCTGTCTCAGCCTTCTGCTCACTGGGATTACAGGTAGTGTTCATTACCAAAGCCAGGTTTATAACTAGCTTCTCTCTCTCTCTCTCTCTCTCTCTCTCTCTCTCTCTCTCTCTCTCT